GGGTTGTGTGCCATGCGTGGCGTTGACACCCTGTACTCTTGGACCCCAATTCGTTTACTTGAAAGAGCGTCACCCTTGCTTTCATGAGAGAACAACAACAACGCACGAACCTACTTCCATTAACAGTTTTTATCAATAGAACATGCTGCGCGTTACTGTACATGCAAGTTGTGCTCACATACACGGGTCATTAATTTAAAAACTGCGCACGCGCGACACGCTCATCATCTCCCTTCTCTGCCTCATCGCTCGCCCGCGCCTAGTTCTTCACTCACTGCTCCTTCTTGGTCGCTCTGCCCTCATTCGCCTCTACCTTACTTTCCCATCTCTTCGATGCTGTTTATTATCTCTTTTGTCGTTTCGGTTATTCTTATTTCTCTGTTTCGCACTCTCCTTTAATCCGCTCGCGCGATGTTGGGGGCCTGAGCGGCATTGCAGGCAATCCAGCGAGAAAGCGGCAACCAGCAGCGACAGCACCCAGGCCACAACAACAACAACACACTAACAGCAAACACACGCGACGAGGACGACGACGACGGCACGATATCGACTATATTACAAAAGTGCTCGTGGCTCTTCTGTCATCATACATAACACACACGTAAGCCGCGCGACGACGCGTCATTACATAAGTTAAATCATTGAAATGAAACCATCGGGTTCCGCTTCCATGCCGGACCGCGGCCTTCTGTCATTAACGGCGAGCGATTCGTGTGTGTGCGGCTGCGACGGGGAACGACGACTACGGACGACGATGACGACGAGCATGACGAAGCCCGACGTACGCACGACGACCGACGACATACGACGACGAGACGACGACGACGAAGACGACGACTTACGAACGACGACGACTGGTTACGACGACGACGTACGATGAAGACGTACGACGACGACGACAACGACGACGACGACGACGAAACGACGACACGAACGACGCACGACAACGACGACTTCCGCGTCTACTTCCTGTCGCTCGCTTGTGGTCGACCTTCACTTTCGCCGCCGTTCGAGCGCCTGTCTTTGGGCGCATGGCGTTGACCGACGGACGGGATATGGTCTTGTGCGGATTTACTTGATGCGATTCGCTATTCAGATAGTTGAGCGCACGGCCGTGAGTGCGGCGAACGAATTGCCCGGAGAACCGAAGCGCGTGTGTGGCGACTTGAGAGTGCGTCAGATTGCGCTGGGATGTTTCGGCTGCGAGTATCGGTGCGGCGGCTGTTGGCGCGAGCGGATCTGTCTGACTTGAGAAATCCTGGAAACTCTTTGGTACTTGCCTGGTGGGGACGTAAAAAATAGGAAAAGCGCGCTTGCGATTAGTTTGTGGTAAATGAGGACGGTGAGTGAGGGAGAAGAAAGAAGAGACAGAGAGAGAGAGAGGGGCGAGAGACGGGAGAAAGGGAGCCAGAGAGAGAGATGAGAGAGAGAGATGGCAGAGATCGCGAGGTAGAAAAAAAGAGAGTCAGAGAAAGTGCGGGCGGAAAAAGCGGAGGGCAGAAACGTGACAATGATTAGAGAGAAGAGGAGAGAGAAGAGAGAGAGAGAAGGAAATACTCTGAGGCGAGAGAGCGGGGGCAAAAATGAGATGAGATAGAGAGAGGTGGAGAGAGGAGAGAGACGAGAGAAGAGCGGGATCGAATAGGCAGGGAGGTGAAATAGAGCAAGATAAGAGCCCATGAGAGAATAGGTGAGAGGGTTGAGAGTAGAGAGAATAGCATAAGAACGAGAGATGGGGATGGAGTGGCACGGAAGCGATAGGAGAGGGCATAAAGGCAAAGCAGGCAAGAGAGTAGAAACGAGAGAGAGAGAAAGAGAGAGTAGAGAAACCAGAGAGAGATGAGAGAGAGAGAGATGGAGAGAGAGAGATCCGGTACAGAGAGAAATGGGCTCTGTCTCTTCGCTCTCGCTCTGTTCTCTCTCATTCTCTTTGTTGTTGGTTTTCTCGCTCTTCCCTTTCTCTCTTTTCAACTCGCATCCTTCCTTTCTACCTCTCATCTATTCTCTTCTAATTCTCACTTTCTTCTCTCTGCTGTCGATTCTCGTCCCTTCTCCTTGCATCTCTCTCTCTCCCTTTTCCCTTCTTTCTTCATCTTTTATCTTCTCTCTCTCCTCTCTTCTCTCTCTCCCATCGCTCTCCTCTCTCTCGCTCTCGCTCTCTCTACTCCTTTATCCAATCTCTTTTCTCTCTTTTTCTCTCTCTCTCTCATCTCTCTCTCGCTTTCGCTACTCTCTTCTCCATTTTCTTCCCAACTCTCTCTCTCACCACTCATCTCCTCTCTATCGCTTTCTCTCCTCCATCTCTCTCTCTCTCTGTTCGGGCGTTCTCTCTGCATCTTCCCCTATCGCTTCCCACTTTCTTCTTTTTCTCCTCTCTACTACCTCCAGTTTATTTACCATGCCTCTCTCTCTCTCTCTCTCTCTCTCTCTCTCTCTCTCTTTCCCGTAGCTGTCATCCACAATCGACCATCTGCATAATATATTCGCGCATAATAGAGTCGGGGCTATCTCCGCCGCGTGTGCATGAGTGACAAATGAGGCAGGTGCGGGAACGCAGCGCCCCTAACTCACGCTCGCCAATCGCTCTCTAGCTCTAGCAACCCTGCCCATATCAGTTCATCGCGAAACGCTGCCATCACGTCGTTGTTCCGTAACTCTACATTCATCATGCGAAGCACCGACGCGCTCTTTATTAATTCACACCAATAACTCACGATGACGCGGTAGAAAAACTGCCGCACGCGCATTACACTTACTTTGCGGCCAATAGCATATTTTTGCGCGTCATGACGTCAGCGGGGTCAGTGTTTTGCCTATTCAGATACTCGGCGGCCTGGCGCGATGGGAACTCCGTCTCGCAGACGTACCCGAAGTCTCTGGCCATGTGCACCGCCTCACCTGCAACGACACCATCCACAAACAATCTGTCATTATATGTGTAGTGTACGCAGATAAAAAATAAACATCCACACGTATAACATTAGGGGTAGAAAAGATAGATATGAATAATTATTCTATATTCGTATGTGGATAATATCGGGAATAATAATAATAAAAATAATAATAATAATAATCACAACAACAACAACAACAATAATAATAATATTAAAGCAAAATAAATTCATGCTATCTGTCATCTGCATATAAGGCGAATAACTCTAACTCGCTTACTCGTGATAATATGGAAGTAATATATAGGTAAATACCTGAGCCAATATATGGATAAAAACATAACAAAATAATGTCTGCAGAAGCGCGTGAGCATTTGAGTTTTGGCATTACATAAACACAGAAGTGGATACTTCGTTCCCACAGCTAGCTATGCACCAGATGCAATCCCGAGTGTACGCCGCCCTTCGATACTAGGTTACATTGTCACAACGACGTCGAATGAATTGCCTCTAACGGCCTCGTAAAATCATCGTGATGTATATTTGAAGAGGCATTACGCTAAGTCGTTGTTCGACGCTACGCACAACAGACGTTCGTCGGCGCCCAACGTGCCAATTGTGACGTCACCAACGCGCGTATCAAACGCTTCCATCTATAATGCGTCATGATTATCGGACACTTTATCGTTCGATTAACTATCTAGCGCGATATCCTCATTAATTATGCATGGACTCTGGGAGGGAGGCAGCAGCAGCAGCAGCAGCAGTAGCAGCACTACTTTAAGTAATAATAGTACTGAATGCAAGCGGGCGATAGAAAGGGAACGAGTGAATGAGAGTAAGAAGAAGAGACAGGGAGGGAGACAGACAGATAGGGAAAGTGAGAGACACAGAGAGAGATAAAGCGGCGCATAAAATTCGCAGCACACTAGCAAGACCCTCGTCACTGATGCGACGCGACGATGACGACGACGACGACGACGATGATGATGAAGAAGATGATGATGATTATGTTGATGATGATAGGCACCGATCATTGACACCGTAATTAGCGCGTTAGAGATTCATCACGTGAGCAGTGACGCGCGCGCGCGCGCCCATCTCTCATTAAATTTTAACAGTATCATTACACGGTCGACGATGCGTCGCTCTTATCTATCACCGCCCGCCCCCCGAAATTACAGTCGCGAGCTTGTATAGGTAGCGGCGATGGCGCCACCTGCCGACAGGTTTCACGCTGCTGACGATGGCAGCGGCAGATGTGGTGTTTTGGCGGGCGGGAGGCGTGGGGGCGGAGCGGGAGGATGGGGGGAGCAGGAGGAAGAGGGGGAGCGGGAGGAGTGGGGAGTGGGCGGAGAAAGGGGAGCAGGAGGCGGAGGAGGGGGAGAGCGGGAGAAGGGGAGCGGGAGGAGGGGAGCGAGAGGATGGGGGAGCGGGAGGAGGATGGGGAGAACGGGAGGAGGGGAGCGGGAGGAGTGGGGGAGTGAGAGGAGGGGGTGGTGGAGGGGGAGCGGCGATGGTCACACAGCGTGGGATGGCCGCTGTTATTTATCGAGAGCGGCTCAGTCTTTGTTGCTGCGCGACGGCCAAACGCAACCGGCGTTATCGGTGGTGGCAGCAGCAGCAGCATCAGCAGCAGCAGCAACGTTAACAGTAACACTAATAACAACAATAGCATCAGCAGCAGCAGCATCAATAGCAGCAGCAACGTTAACAGTAACAACAACAACAACAACAACAGCAGCCGCTGTAGCAGCAAAAACGTTAACAGTAACAACAACAACAACAACAGCATCAGCAACAGCATCAGCAACAGCATCAGTAGCAGCAGCAACGTTAACAACAACAACAAACGCAGCAGCCGCAGCAGCAATGGCAGCGTCAGCGGCGGCGGCGGCGGTGACATTAGCTACTGCATCGTTATGCTAACCTATGCTGCGCTCTCAACTCTCAATCGGCAACGCGTCGCAAAGTCTGATCGTTAAGTGGCACGAATTATCTGCTTGGCCTGCGCCTTTGCCGTTGATATATACGCGGCCACTATAAACTAGTACATTAACAACGCATCGGAGACACCTGTTGCTGAAACGGCCGTTGTCATGCAGAAAACGAGTGCTCAGGTGAAAAACACGATGCCGTGAGCAGGTGCGGTGTCGCTCGTTACCGACCGCTGTTCGGTGCCGACACAGATCGGCCGCCATTTTAGAGCGTGCGCGCAGCGGCGCGGGGAAAAAGCTGATGCTAACGTGTCCGAGTGTGTTTGCGGAGGTCTTGTTGCTCCAGCGACTCGGTTGTTATTATAGATAACTTAAAATGTCGTTGTTCGAAAATATTATGTTCGCTTCATCTCATTCTGTCTCGTTTATTTTCGTGTAGTTGTACGTGATTATATATATATATATATATATATATATATACATATGTGTGTGTGTGTGTGT